CAGGACGGCTGCTTGATCGCTCTGGGGTCCGTTTGGCGGCTCCCTCACAGCCGGCCTGGAGGGGACTCGGACCCCGCCAGGACTCAAAGGGTGCTAGATCCCCGTCACATGACAGTGGGACCGGTGACGGATCGACAGACAAGGAATGAGATCGATACCGAGATCCATAGCGGAACCGACAGTGAGATCGATAATGAGACCGATAGTGAGATCAATAAACATATAGTGAGATCGATAGTAAAATCGATAGCGAGACCTATAGTGAGGCCGATAGTGGGATCGACAGATAAATCGTGGAATGATGGACCACAATTGCGTCCCGATGGTGTCCCGATGGTGGCATTTATCATTCCCCAGGGTGTCCAGATGGTGTCCCATTGCAGTTTTCATCAGTTGGTTCCCCCCTGCAACCTCCTCATCACCCGAAGGGTCGTCGTATAGGTATCTATATATATATACTAGAACCATCGCGCGCGCTTCGCGCGCGCTCAGGTTCTAGCAGGCCCCAGGCATTGACGACTTGACTGCTCCACTGAAGTAGTGGACCACAGCACACGCATGCCAATCTGCATTCAGAAAGGCCTTCGAGGAAAATGGTCGTGTAGGGGGGCGGAGGCCGTATGAATCGGGCTCCCAGGAAGCCTTCTGGGAGCATGGGTTTGGGGGCGTCTTGGGGAGCCTGTTGGGGCGTGCCGCCGTCGTCGTCGGTCGTCGTAAAGTCGTCGTCGCCTTTTGGGGCGCGTCGTCGTCGTCGTCGTCTTCGTGGTTTCGTCGTCGTCGTCGGTTCCAGAGGGCACTTGGGGTAACTTTGCGCGAAACGATCTGCGGAGGGCCGCGAGAAGGCGATCAGTCATGTTCCCAATCAACTTCCCAGACAGCTCTCCTGTAGCATGATGGTACTTCGAAGCCTCCTGAGACTCGCGGGCCCATGATGAACCATGTCCCTAGAAGGCTTTCTGGGGACATGGTTTGTTGGGGTGTGTTGGGGGGTCTCTTGGGCGTTCCCTGGGGGCCCCCGAGGGGCCTCCGGAACTCTCGGGCCCATGATGAACCATGTCCCCCGAAGGTTTTCTGGGGACATGATTTCTTGGGGTGTGTCGGGGGGCCTCTTAGGCGTTCCCTGGGAGCCCCTTGGGTATCTCTTGGGGCTTCCTGGGGGTCTCTTGGGCGCCTCACGGGGCTTCGTGGGAGCCTCTTGGTGGCCTCCGGGGGCCTACAGGCGGCCTCTACTTGGCGGTCCCCCTCTGGGCCCTCTCTTGGGGAGCTCTTGGAGCACAGTTGGGTTGTCTGGGGAGCCTCCTGGGCCGTCTTTTTTTGTTTTCTTTTTTTTTGTTTCTTTTTTTTTGGGGGGGGGCTTCATTTTCTTTTCAATCGATGCGGAAGCGGAATAACAGCCTGTTGGGCTGTATGTTGGACAATTCAAACGTTTCGACACTGCGCTTGCATTCCGTGCACGAGATCGAACTCTAAAGCTGCTGAGAGACGCAAAGTAACGCGTAGATGCATTTCTATAGATATATATATATATATATATATATATATATATGCTGATTTCATTGTCGGGTTTTCGGCGTGCGATGGAGGACCTCTGTACACAACCGACAACATATTGAGCGCTGTGACCAGACTCGACAAATGCTGGTATGTTGGCATCGGGCATCGCGCCCAATGCATAATTTCGAATTCGCTATTCAGCGCGCTCGCGCAGTGCCCCTGCAAGCTCACTCGCTCCCCATCGGCTGCAACATAGCGGACATCATTTTCCTGCCGCTCCCCGTCTTGCCGCTCATCCTGCCGTGTCCCGCGAGCATGTTGTCCAGCATCAGCAGGTCTCCGCTCCGCATGGCGAAGGCGACGCTACAATCGTAGATCGTCTTCCTCACGTGGTTGATAGTCTCATCGCTCACGGCCGACCCGTCACCGTACGAGATGCGAAACGGCAGATCGTCCGGGGCCCTGCTCCACTCATTGACAAAGTCCAGCATGAGGATAGGGTGCGCCACACTGTACGATGCGCTGAAGCAGTGGGGCTGTGCGAAAAAAATGTCCTCGCCTGTGATTGGGTGCGTTCTCACGCTGGGGAGCACAATCTCCATGACGAGGGTGCCGTCGGCCTCCCAGGACCACGTGTAGCCCTTCCTGTTCAACCACATCTCGGTCGCCTCTTTGGAGTCGTAGATTTGCCTCTGCCAGAAGAAAGGGTAGTGCGCAGCAGGGTTAGTCCTTTCGCAACTCATGCGTAGTGCGTATTTAAAGCCCATTGCCTTCGCACCGTGGAAGAAAGCTTTGTCCAACTTGTCTGTGACCTGCCGGAAATCAGTGATGACCGTCTCGCACCCAGAATTGAGGCTGGCCTCTCGCTCGCAATATAAGGCGAATTTGGCAGGGAACGCGCTGCTGTACGAAAGCTCCTGGTGCGGCTCGATCGTGAAATTGAAAGGCTCCGCGCTTGCCTCCATGGAAGCTTCCGACGATATGTTCCTGATCGCAGTCCCGCCCTTATACTCCCCAAATAGCTCCCAACCCAGGCTGCCGATGAGCTCGTCGAAGTCCTTGGTGCCACTCAGGGGGAGCCCCTGGAAGAGGACCGCGCCGACCTCGTGCAGGCGTGAGTCCAACAATTTCCACATCTCCGCCCCGTGCTCCTTCAACTCGGCTTCTGCGCCGGGGCAGACTTCCATGCAGAGGGGGAATGGCGGCCTCGGGGGCGCTATCTCGGGGGAGAGATGCTCGCTGCCGGGCGTGAACATGCGCTTCTGCAGCGCGACCGCGGGACGGCCCGCAAGCCCCTGCAGCCTCAGCTGGTGGAGGGGCGCGGGCGCGGCGGAGCTCTTAGACCAGACCTCGAAGCGGGTGGGCATGCGCAGGACGTAAGGGAAGCCGTTCGAGTTGTAGGGCTCCTTGACGCGCTCGAAGACGTGGCGGACCTTGCGCGCGCGCTCTCCAAGGTCGGGTAGATCCCAGAGCTGCGGGTTGCAATCCATGATGTCGTCGACGACTCCCTGGCCCGTGTGGTACCGATACTCTTCTGAGAAAAGCTCCTGCTGATGCAACGTGAAGCCGAGCTTTGGCAAGAACGCTTGTGCGGAGAGGTACGCCTCCAGACAACCTTGCGACTCATCCCAAAGCGGCTCCATAACATCTTGCATGGTGCCCTTGCAGATCTGCTCCTCGATGACCAGCTTGCCGCCGACGCACAAAACCCGGGATAGCTCGGAAAGGAAAGCCTCGGCGACCTGCAACGGGATGTGGTGCAACATGAGGGACATGATCACGATGTCGAAGTTGCAGTCCACGAAGGGAAGCGCCTCGCCGACTTTCACCAAGTGGAACTTCGCGCGCGTGTCGAGAGACTCCCACATCGTCCCGTACAATGGGTTCGTGTCAACCCCATGGAGCTCCACGCCCTCAGGTATGTACCCCTCCAACCGCACAGTCTTGTAACCGCTTCCACAACCTACGTCGAGAACTGGGCCTTTCGCATTCTGGAGCACGCCCCTGAAACCCTTCTCCGCATGGACGACAACACCTTTGATGCCTGTATATGTAGGGGAAGGGGACGTTTCCGTTTGACTGGATATCCCCACATCGCGGCAGAACGGTTGACAGGGCGGACTCGTGCTGTGCTGGCCCCTCCATGGACGGGCGTTAGAGGCGGTGCAACTGACTCCCAAAGCGTGTGACCATGGCAAGCGGAAGCCGGTACGGCCAGCGCGCGTGAAAACCGTGGAACGAATCATGTTGGCCTCTAACACTGGGGCACGAGTTGGCTTTGGGTGTATGAAAATTGGCGCACCGAGAAAGCTCGAGGATAAAGGTTTGATCTAAAATGGCTTGAGCCAAAATGGCTACGGAAGCCTCCTGGGCCGTCTTGGGGCCCTCTTCGGAGCCTCGTGGTCCGTCTTGGAGCGATCTGAAGGGCCTCCGAGCGAGGCCGTGAGGGAGCGCTGGGAAGCGGGGAAAGCGAGAACGCCTAAATCCTTCAAAAACCATCGGAAAATTAGTGAATCTTGCCTCCGAGGGCCCTCTCGGGGAGCCTCTTGAGTCCGTCCTGGAGCGTGATGGAGTCCTCGTCGGCCGTCTTGAGGGCAGCTTGGGCGTCTTCAGAGCCTCTTGGGACCGTCTAGGGCCCTCTGGGGACCTCCATTAGCCTGTCGTGGCATGCTTCGGGGCGGACCCGGACCGCCTCGGGACCCCTCTGGGCCTTCTCTTGGCGCGATCCTGGGGCACACTTGGGTTGTCTGCCGTCTTGGGGCCCTCGTCGGGGTCCGTGGGCCTTCTTGGAGCGATCTGAAGGGTCTCCGAGGCCGTGAAGGGAACGCTGGAAAGCGGTAAAAGCGAGAACGCCAAAATCCAAAACACTCGGAAAACGAGTGAATCTTGCCTTCCAGGGCCCTCTCGGGGAGCCTCTTGAGTCCGTCCTGGAGCGTGTTCCGTCTTGGGCCCTCTCGGGGCCCCCTTAGCCTGTCGTGGCCTGCTTCGGGGCGGGCTCAGGCCGCCTTGGGAGCTCTGGACCCCCCCGCAACCCCCGGTGGGCACCGATGGGGGGAACAGGCAGCGGCCCGCCCCCCCCCCGGGGCCTACTCCGAGATAGAGAATCATGTTCCCGGGAAGCTTTCCGGGAGCATGATTTGTTCGGCTCTCTAAGAGGGGGGCCTCTGGGGGCTCACCGAGGGGCGCCTTTTGGCCTTGTCGGCAAACCTATTGGAAACATGGTTGGGGCGGCGGGCGGAAGCCCAAGGAATCATGTTCCCGGAAAGCTATCTGGGAAATACGATTTACCGAAGTGTCTTGGGGGCCCCCAGGGGGCTTCCCTGGGGGCCCCTTGGGGGCATGTTGGGGCTTCCAGGGGGCCCCTTGGGAGCCTCACGGGGCTTCTTGGGAACCTCTTGATGGCCTCCGTGGGTGTCCTAGGAGCCTCTCGGGCCTGAGACCTTGAAATGTCGCGTTCTTCGTGCCCTTTGGGTCGCTCTTGCTCTTGGGGCTCTCTTGGGGCGCTCTCGAGGCCCTCTTGACTTATCTGGGGAGCCTCCTGGGCCGTCTCTGGGCTTTCTTGGGAGCCTGTTCGGCCGTCTTGGAGCGATCTGAAGGGCCTCTGACGCGGTCCGGGACCGTGGGGAGGCGGAGCATGGGAGAGCGCAAGAATGCTTCAAAAAACCATTGGAAAATTGATCATATTCGGTTTCTGGGGCCCTTTGGAGGGGCCTCTGGAGGCGCCCTTGGGGCGTTTTGGCGGCGTCGTCGGCCGTCCTGAGGCCATCTTCGGCGTGTCAGGGGCCTCTGGGGGCTGTCTTTGGGCGTCCTGGGAACCTGGAAGTCATGTTCCCGGAAAGGCTTCCGGGGACATGATTTCGAACGGGGCCCTCTTGGGCCTCCCTGGGGCCGTCTAGGGGGCCTCCTGGGCTGGCTCTGGGGCCTCCTGGGCCGTCTTGGTGGGTTCCGTCAGCCCACAGGGCGACCCTTCTGGGCCGTTTTAGGCCCTCTTGGGTCTCTCTTGAGCTGTCTTGGGGCTCCTCGGGGGCGCCCGGGGCACTGCGAAGACGAAGAAGGGAGTATGCTGAATATGCAATTACGTTTTACTGCGGGAACAGGCTGATCTTTGCCTCTTCAAGGCCCTCTTGTGGCCCTCTTCGGCCATCATCTTCAAGCCATCTCGGGCCCTCCGGGGCCTCGCTGAGGCTGTCCTGGGGCCCAGTAGGGGGCCCTGGGAGTCCGGAAGTCATGTTCCCGGAGAGGCTTCCGGGAACATGATTTCGAACGGGGCCCTTGGGCCTCCCTGAGGCCATCTTGGGGGCCTCCGGGCTGTCATGACTGCGCTCAGCGAGCGGATTGCCCACGAGCAGAAAAGGGTAACCACTGCATGAAGACTGCAACGAGAACAGGCGCAGGAGGGAGCTGATTCTCCTAGCGTCGATCCATCAGCAAGCAGCAACGACGGGGGAGGCCCCGAGGGGCACAAGGGCGAGCAGGGGGCCACGCAAAGCAGCGAGAGGCGATCGGCGCACGCCCCAGCTTCCGCAAGCGGGAGCAGGGCGCGCACCGTTCACCAACCCACCGCAAGGAATGGCCCCCCGAGGGGAGGAGGAGACGCCGGCGGCGGAGGAGGAGCGGGAAAGGCGAGAGGAGCGGAAAAGACGAACGACGGACGACGACGACGAACGACGAAGACGACAGCAGAAGGGATCGTCACTCGCGTAAACACGAAAAAATCAAAATGCTCAGTAGCTGCCCGCGCATGGGCGGGGGGAAGACACGGCGAGAGGAGGGGCGGAAAAGGAGCGACGGCTGGACACGCTCTAAGCGTCGTCCTCCACCAGCTCTGCCAGCAAGCTCGGCGCGGCAGCCACAGCTCCGCCAGCCGAGGGGAGCTCCGCGTGCCTCCTCAGGACTGCTCGCGCCGTCGCCCGGCGGATCGCCACGGACAGGCGCTGGAACAGGCGTGCCGCGCCCGCCCCCAGCTCCTCGCCTCGTCTCCGATCGCTGGCCCGGGCGAGCCGGCGCAGAGTCTCGGCGCCAGTCGGGCCCCATCCTCCAGAGGGCTCCGCCACGAGGGGGATGAACACGATCCCCTGCTGCTGGCACTGCCGCTCTGTGTCGAGGTGGTTCCTCTTCACCAACTCGTACTCCTGCGACGCGCGCCCCACCTCCTGGAACGCCAGGACACGGGCAGCCTGCCTGCGCGGCGAAGACACCGCGAAGTCGAAGGCAGCAGGCGCCCCCTGGAACCAGAAGGGAATGTAGACATCTGCAGGCCGGCGCCCATTCACCTGGACGTCGTCTGGGCGGGGTGGTAGGAGGCCAGGTTGCTCGAGCGTCGGGTTGAAGCCCGCACTGGTGGCGAAGGTGCCGACCACGTTCCTCGCCCCGTTGCGCCGGTGGACGCGATCCCCGGCCCCCGCGCATAGTCCTGCGTGCCGGCCGTGGCGGTCGCAGACGTCCTCGCAGCAGGGGCAGAAGTGCTCAGTCTCGTACACGGGCATGAGGAGCCTGCGCTTGACCTCGCACGCGAATTCCTCGGGTTCGAAAAGGAGCCCCAGCTGCTCGCTGGGCTGCGCCACGAGGAAGTCTGACGCGCCAGGCAGCATCTCTGAATTGATGTCAGCGCGGTCAGCTGCCCCCAAGCCCGCCAGAAAGGTCTGGTGCCCGCGTTCGTCCACCGCGGCAGAGAACTGTTTCTGCGTGGCCCTGTCGAGCGCCGCCGGGTCGAGGCCGTCCGCCGGCGCCAGCAGGGCGTTGTACGCCAGGAGCGCCTGCCCCTCCAGCGTAGCCGCGCTGTCCGGCGCCCACGCGTAGGCCGGGTCAAGGTCGCAGCACAGGTGCCGCGTGGCTGCGAGGCTGGCCAAGTAAGCGCCGGGCGCGTGTGCTGACAGCTCCCGCAGACCGAGCCCCGCGTGGGCGAGCCCTCTGGCTGCCTGGTGCCACTGCGCGCCCGTCAGGTCCGCCGCCAGCAGGTTCGACAGCGCGCGCCGCTGGCCGTCGTCGAAGCAGTGCAACGCTTCCGAGAGCAGAGCAGACGGCGCCGCGCGGGCGCTGTACACGAGTTTCGCGTAGCTCGCGCAGTAGCGCAGGAGCGCGAGGCCCACCTGGGGGTGCAGGTTGGCGAGCGCCTCCAGGGCGGGCTTCGTCTTGTCGGCGCGGCGCTGGGTGAACGCCTCGCAGTAGTCCTTCGCCCCAATAGGCGCTCCCAAGAGCATGGAGCCGCCTCTGAGGACAACGCGGTCGACCCCCGTCTCTGCGTCCGCCAGGAGAGGCGCAGGGAAAAGGTCTGCCAGGCCGCCCGGCCTGCGTCCGCAGGGGACTACGAGGCCGGCTTCGCGGCCTCTTGGGCCATCTCGGAGGATTCCGTGAGCCCCGCAGGCCGACCCTTTTGGGCCGTCTTGGGCCCTCTTGGGTCTCTCTTGGGCTGTCTTGGCGCTCCGCGGGGGCCTGGGGCACTGTGAAGATGAAGCCAGCGGGCATGCTGAAAACGCACGTTTTACAAAGGAAATGGGCCGATATTTGCCTCTTCAAGGCCCTCTTGTGGCCCTCTTCGGCCATCTTCAAGCCATCTCGGGCCCTCCGGGGCCTCGCTGAGGCTGCCCTGGGGCCCAGTAGGGGGCCCTGGGAGCCCGGGAGTCATGTTCCCGGAGAGGCTTCCGGGAACATGATTTCGAACGGGGCCCTCTTGGGCCTCCTTGAGCCCGTCTGGGGCCCTCCTGGGTCTCTCTTGGGCTGCGTTGGGGCTCCGCGGGGGCGTCTGGGGCACTGCGAAGACGAAGCAAGGGAATATGCTGAATATGTACCTTTTACTGCGGGGACAGGCTGATCTTTGCCTCTTGAAGGCCCTCTTGTGGCCCTCTTCGGCCATCCTCAAGTCGTCTCGGGCCCTCTGCTTGGATGGATGACGGTGTTTATACGCACTTACAGAACATATGAGTACATAGCTTCTGTTTACGCAGGTTACTACAACAAGATAGAATTAGGTTATCACTTGAGATACATACGTACTTATAACCAAGTGTTAGTAGGTTAGCTAACTAGATTAATCTAGTTATGATAAGTCCGCTACCCTGGATACGCTAACTACGCTATCCTGTATACTACCAATAACAAAACTTCTAACATCTACTAAATTTTAAATGACAAGGCCATGTATTTTCGAAAACAAGCCGCAGACAAACAAACATAAACAACACAAAACACATAAACGCACACAGTTGAAGCATCGGCGTGCACACTGATTGTTTCGAGGGGCCCTTTGGGGGCCTGGGGGAGAGCGGCTGCATGGGCTCCAAGGGGCCCCTTGAGGGTTCCTCCAGGGGGCCCCTAGGGAGGGCATTCGAGGGGCTTCTCACAGCCAACTAAAACAAGTCCGCCAGACAGCACGGCCAGCAACACTATGTTTCATATTTTGTGCATAGGATGTGCCGAAGTTTCGGCGGCAACAGGCCTGACATA